CCCTTGGACGAAGTAACCCATGGCTGCCGACAAGGATCCTTCTGTCAGGTTGGGTCGACTACCTCCTCTGACTAAGTAGACCAGGGACCACGATGGCCCGGGATGACGGAACCATGAGATCTTGATCGGGTCCATCATCCATTCCCCCACCACCCACTTTAAGTGCAAGATGGTGAAATTTCTATTTTAAATATGAAATCTCCAAATCTTCCAATATTCCGAATTCTCAAATTCTTCAAATTTCCAAATCCAAATCCGTGCTGCTACTATATGCCAGATAACACGTATTTGATTGATGACTAGCCTTAATCGAAAGTCCTCGCAAAATGAGGGCGAAATCTCTGGGTACTGTCTTATTTACAAACCCATCTGCCTTCCAAAATTTACCCCGGAACTTTTTCCGTTAAAACTCCCTCGCCGAAATGTAAACAGAAATCGCGCGGAGGGGAGGCCGGGGCCAAATTTTCGGAGCCCACACTCATCTTCAGGCACCATTTTAATTTGATTGCAACCTAACAATTCATCCATAACGGAGAACATATTGTATTTGGACGTGCTATCAACTAGGAGTTCTGATATAGAGAGTGAAAATTCATCCTTTGGACATGCTTTATTGAGGTCCTAAAAATCAATATAGACACGGATTTGATCGTTCTTCTTTTTGATAGGAATAATATTGGTGATCCAGTCAACATAGTTTTCTTCTCGAATGAAGCTCACTTCTATCAGCTTTTTTGTTTTTGCTATCACCTGTTCCTCAATGTCCAATCTCATTCTTCTTGGAGATTGTTTGACGGTCACTGCATTCAGTTTTATAGCTAATATGTGAACTGCTACAATAGGGGATAAGTATCAGCTTATGTCCAGGCAAATCACTCCTTGAATTTTTCTAGAAAAGTTCTTTTCTTTTTTACACTTGCTATTCGGGCAAAAGGGCGCTGATGAAGGTCGGGCGAGGATCTTCTTCAGCCTAAGAGGATATAATTGAAAAGTGATGGAATTCCTTTGATTATTCTTCAAGGTGTCAACCATCGAGAATATTGTATATAAGGGTCATCTTTGGGACCAACTTTTAATGAATTTCTTTAATGGAGGATCTCTAGGGGTACACACTAGATGTCATATATTTTTCTAAAGATGTTGGTCTCTATATTTATTTTCCCTTATGTTGAGACCTTTCGGAAGTAGATTCTTAGTATGCGTTCAAGTGTCACGCCTCGGTGCTCAACGTACATATCTTGATTTTTTCTATGCTCTACCATCATAATAGATGGTTGATTTTCATTTTATCGGGACCTTTCAGTAACGGCTTTTTGGACATAGAGACCAAGTGTCACGTCCTAACCTTCACTATATAGAACTCAATATTATCACTATTATTTTTTGCTACTATTATAACAATTATTGGACTAGCCAAAGATGAAAAGAGAAACCAAACCCTAGCGGAGTTGTCAGAAATCTGTGGGTTCTGAAAATTCGGCCCCGGCCTCCCCGTTGCTTTTGGGGGATTTTTAACCGATTAAGTTCCGGGGTTAATTTTGGTAAGACAGATTGAGTTTGTAGATTAGAAACTACCTAGAGATTTCTCCCTCATTTTGCAAGGACTTTATGATCTGAGTCCTGGTTTCCTATATGCGCAAGCCCCTATAGTTAATTACCCCTTCGGATCACGAGAGAGAACTTTTGATTAAGGCTAGTCATCAAACATATACGTAGAAATATGTGTATATGGCATATAGTAGCAACATGGGTTTACGTGTGTGTGGAAGTTTGAAGATTTGAATATGGCAGAAGAGTTTGGTCGGAAGATATGGGCGAAGTCTTGTACAAGAGGAGAGGCGTTGGAGGCGGGATAGGGTTCGTGGGGTTGGCTAGAAGATCGCAAGGCAGAGAACCTCAGTTGACGGGTTGTAGGAGGTCGTGGATTCGGCTGGAGTTCGGCAGTGTGCGTGGGTTGGAGGTGGGCTTCGGGATGGAGATCAAGAAGATGTCAGAGCTGGCCGTGGGGTTTGGGCTGAGAGAGAACATCAAAGTGCTTGTGGGTTGGAGAGGAAGCTATAGGATGTCAAACTCCTATTTGTTTACCATTATCTCCTCTGTAGATGGGACATAGAGCAGCTGGGATAGGATTTCTGTAGGATTTGGCCACAGTGGATGTACGATTTGAGCAGTTGGTTCAGGAGGCTGTACTGGGATATTTGGCAGAGGATCACAGAGATGATGATTCATTCTTCCCCCTTATTTTTTATTTTTTGATATTATATTACAGGGTCAACACCCACTTGATCATATAAGGATTTTTGTGACTCGACAAGGTTGCTAATGATGCAGAGGATTATTATCAGGAGGATTTTGTCAAAAATGAGTTTGTTCTTTGTTTAATATGATAACCTAGTAAATAGAGATTGATATGCTTTTGCCCTTTTCCTAGACTTATGTCAGAAAATAATTTTCATGTCGTCTCTTTCAGGAAAAAGGAGGTGTATCCTACTAATTGCTGGCATTAGTTTCAACTTGTTTCTAACCTTATGACCAAAAATCTACCCTCTTTTGAGTCTCACAAAGCTCTTTTGTTCTTCCTCTCATCCTTCTTGTTTTGTGTTGACTTTGATTTGGTGGAGAAATTCCCTCCTTGAAGGGAGATTAGGGCAAACCCTAATCTTGTGCAACCAAGGCGTATCAGATTAGCAATCCATTTTATAATTGTAGTTGATTCGCATTTCTACTTTGTTATTTTGTGTGTCCATCGTGTTGATTTATAGTACTCCTTTTCATCATTTTTTCTATTCAGTTGTGCTAAGGGGAAGGAGAGCATCGATATATGCACTTTGTTTTTTTTTTTGGTTACTATCAGCTCTTATCTGTAAATCATAAACAGTGCTGACAGAATCACAGATGCTTCTACTTGGATGTTAAAATGAGGAGTTAATTTATAGTTGCGGGAGGATGACATTGCAAATACCTATCAGTAATAGTCTTTTACTAAGCACTTCCACTACATTTTATTTAATCTTAAATTACATGCTCTTAATTCTAATTGATTAATACAAATTAAAATGTTATCTTTTACCTCCAAACTCAGAGTCGCCTATACTCCACTGCCAACTTTATGCTCTAATACTTGCGTCATCAGGTAGTCAGGGTAAAGAAGAAAGACACTGGAAATGTTTATGCTTTGAAGATCATGGACAAGGATTTTATTACAAAACAACATAAAGTATCCCACGTAAAACAGGAGCGCATTGTACTCGATCAACTAAATCATCCCGGGATTGTTCAGCTTTTGTTCACATTCCAAGATTCTTATTCCCTTTGTAAGTCATATGTTACACGTAATTAGCTTTCCTCTAGAACATTTAAGTCAACGTTATGCAGTTGTTGGTTTGGGAGCACAATTGATTCTTTTGGAGTAAAACCAAATTCGATTTTCATATTGAATATTTAGTTAGTTTCACCGTTGATTTGCGTCGAAGTGATATTTTTTTCTATGATTAATGCAAACAATGAAGACATGGCTTTCGAAGCATGTGAAGGAGGAGAGCTATTTGATCAAATAACCAGGGTAATATTTAATTAATTAACTGTCAGAGTTTTAAGTAATTTAATGCAGTTCTTTTTTTTTTTTAAGTTGAAATTTGCTGTTAGAAAATGTTATTTAAATTTTTACTATTGTAGAAAGGCCGTATCTTTGAGGATGAGGCTCGCTTTTATATAGCAGAAATTATTGATGTGTTGGAATATCTACATGGTATTGGATTGATTCATCGTGATATTAAGGTATGAGGGTATGATCTGTGATGGATCTGTACAACTGTACTATCTGCTGTCACTTTTTATGCTAATCGTCTTGCAAATGTTAGCCAGAGAATTTGCTCCTTACTGCTAACGGTCATGTCAAAGTTGCGGATTTTGGTAGTGTAAAGGTAACTGAAGGCACCAGAATCTTACTACCTCCACTTGCAGCAAGTAAGTTCACATTGTGATCTGGATTTCCTTTGGAGCACCTGTCCTGAGATGACTGACTGCCTTTAGTTTATCCCTTTTTGTTATATGGGTGATTCAGGTGAAACAACTGGTTCCTTCGAGGGAACTGCTGCATATGTTCCTCCAGAAGTACTTAACACTTCTACAACTACTATAGCGTAAGTGAATCCAGGCTGCTCGTGCAATTTCAAAAAACCATATGCTGCTTAGATGAAGTTAACGTTGATATTTCAATTTCAGAAATGATCATTGGGCTCTTGGGTGCACCTTGTACCAAATGCTTTCTGGAACTTCTCCCTTCCAAGATTCTAGTGAATGGCTTATGTTTAAGAAAATCAAATCAAGAGATATTAAGTTCCCAGTTTACTTTTCTGATGAAGCCATTGATCTGATTGATAACTTATTGGTAAGCTGCAACCTCAGTTATCTTATTGATGAATTTTCATAAGCAACTGCAGAGCTGAATGATGAAAGAGGTTTGTTAGAGACTTGTTGGTTTATTATCGAAGTAAAAAAATCTTAACAAAACAAATTTAAAGTCATTTGCATCTTGTTTAAATTTAGTGTTAGATCAGTTAATTTGATTGCTTTGATCTTTTAAGTCATCTTTGTGATTGTTTAGTTCTAAACATTTTCCCGTATAGAACACTAGGGAAAGAACATAATTTACTGGACGGACTTGATATTTATCTCAAAAAACAAAGGATCTTGTTTTTTGAAATTCAGGACCACTTTAAGCTGTATTTCCACACTTTAAAAAATATCTACAATGATGTCTACGAATGCAGTATTATTGCTGTAATAACCACGATATAACTAATAATTAATATAAAAAATGTTGTAATAACAATAGATTTTGTTATTATGCAAACATTTAAATTAAATGAATAGAATGAAGCGAAATAATTGTTATTGTTTCTTGGCAAAAGTGAAGTAATAGCTGAATGGAATCGCAAGAGGAAATTAAGAAGGCCATTTACCTTTCCAAAAGTTAATGCTTCTATCATGAGGATGTTTCCAAGATATGTTCAATGGAAAATGATCAAAAGCTTTAGAATAAGATTTAAACATATATATGGAAAAATAATAATTAAGGCGAATCTCGCTCTTACAGGCTAAAGGTCTCCTTATTTTTTCTGAGGTAGATTGAAATTAAACATTTAATCATATTTCCAATGAGAGTAGTGTCAGGATTTATTTAGATCTAAGTTCTACTTCCTATGAGTGCAAGTTCTCATAGTTAATTATCCATCCTAACTCATTAGAAGAGCACTCTCGATTAAGGATGAAATATATTTAGTTTGTCCAAATAGTGTGAAAATGTGCAACATTGTTTTAATATTAGTTATGAGGGATGAAAGTACATCAGATCAAGATCCCATGATTTCGTCTTGTTGGATATAACGTTAGTTTTAATTTACCAACATTAACAACCATTAATTATTGTGTTCGGAAAATTTGATTAGTAACTATGGGTTGCCTCCTCTCAGGGATCTCAAGTAAACTGAAGTAGAGAAATATAGATTTTAATTTGGTTTGATTTGAGTTGGGGCTTATGGCTCTATTTTAGAGTTGCCTGTGTGATTAGATTTGGACAGGGGCTATAACTTTTATTTGAAAGTAGTCATAATAGTGGGTCTTACGGCCTCTATTAGAGGTGGTGTAAATAGTGGGTCTTATAACTTAGCCGTATAGCCTAAGATGCCCGAAAGTATTAGTTGGGTATGTCTTATAGCTTTCTTAGAAATTTCATGATGACGGGTCTTAAGACTTAATCCTGTAAGCTAAGTGGCTCGTCTGGTGAGTCTTACAACCTAGCCCTATTGACGAGGATGCCCATGTGAGAGGTCTAGGGTTATGTTATTACTTAAATATTTCCCTCAGAGGTCAGACTTATGACTTCTATTAGAAGTTGCCGGTGTATTAATTAGGGATTAGGAGTTAGGTCATTTTTGCTTAAATATTTTTTCTAAAGTCGGGCTTCCCGTAGGGGTTTAAGTTTTGGATCTAAGGTTGTTCATTTAGAAGTTCCCTTACACGCAGGTATTATTGCTTCACTTAAAAGTAGCCCATGGGTTTGTAGTTGTTTGCTAATTCGACACTAGACGTTGGTTTTTATTTGTTTACTAGTAGTTTGTTTTCTAGTTTTACACTCACTAGCCAGTAGCTGTTGTTTGATATTTACTTGCCAGTAGTTGTTGTTTTGACCCTTACTTGCCAGTAGCTATTTTCTACCCTAGCTTTCAGTAGTGTGTTTGTTGTTTTATGCTTGTAGCTTTTTTTTTCTACAGTAGTTTGTTATTCTATTTTAGCTATGTTATTCTTTGTCCGCTTTCTAGCACTTTGTTTTACTTGCAGTAGTTAGTTTTACTTTTTCAACATTAATTTTATTTATGATGTACTGACTTTTATCTGTTTATTTGTAGGTGCTTAGCCAGTTGCAGATCTTGCAGAGCGTACATACAACATCAGACTTTTGAGCTACAACCTTTCACGCCACAAGATTGACGAGTAGCGCTTTGACTTTGTGTTTGACAGTCCTCTTCAGATGTTGAGGGGTCACGTATGGTGGGCCCGTCATATGCTCTGATAACATCAGAGGATTCTCAGACAGGCAGGGGTTTACATGACTATATATGTTTTATTGTTCGACTATAACTGACTTTCCTACTCTTGGCTTCAGGAATTAGCTGAGCATTGGGACAACATCACCAACACTTGTTGGGTTGGGCCAAATGAGATGACCATTATACTTTGGGAGCTGTAGTTGGTTTCTGGTTTGCCCATTTTTGGTACCCCCTACGAGGAGGGTATTCCTCAGGATTATGAACTTTTGAGTCATTAGCCAACTGACCAGCATAGGCAAGGGGAGTTTGTATATTTTGACAGCCTCCATCATAATCTAACTCACTAACATCATTTGCTTAGACATATGAGTAATCACCATCGAGTTATTGTTTTCCTTGGAGGACTGGATTGAGAGCCTACTGAGTCGGGAGGCATATACTGTATAGTCAGCTCATCTTCATGATCCCTTCGACATATGATTTCAGTCTACTAAGCCATCTTCAGCCAGGATTTTTGAGCCTGAGCCAGCAATAGGGACAGTCTATTTATGTCAGGGGAGTTTCAGAGGAGATGTCTTTGGTGGCTTTTATGGCCACCTGGTTGTGTCGTTTTGTCTTTTCGGGCCAGGACAAGGGCTTTTGCCTCAGTACACTTTTGATGGCTAATTAGATTGCCAGTGGGAGACAGGTTTCATTAGCTCCAGTTGTGCTCACACATATATACTACGTCTTCGAACAATTTCTGCTTCTTATTGTCGTCATCAGCTTGCTGTTGAGATGTCATGGCACTATGTTCATGGGTGTGTGTGCATATACATGTAGCAGGAGCTTTCAGTTGTGCTAAGCTACCTGGCTACTATATAAACCACTTTTTCCCTTTTCTGATTCAGTTAGCCAGGGCAACTTCAATCACAGACCGAGTCAATATCAGGTTGTTCATGTTTGCACCTTTATACGTGATTGTAGTTTTAGACTGCTTTACAGATCTCTAGTTAGGGATTTACCACCTCGGAGCCTTGGTGTTTTACTTTTAGGTACTTTGACTAAGAGGAATAGGCCAACTTTTTTTGTAAGAGTGGCTATGCACTTATTGCCTTTTATTTTATCAGCATGAGGCCTGGATGGCTTTGTTACAGGAGGGACAATTCTATAATTTTTGAGAAATTAGGAATGGCAAAACCATGTAATCAGATAGCTATAAAGCCACCAAAGACGCCTCCTCTGAAACTCCCCTGGCATAAATAAACTCTCTACTATTGGCTTAGGCTAAAAAATTCTAACTAAAGATGGCTCAGTGGACTGAAATCCTATGTCGAAGGGATCCTGAGGATGAACTGACTGTACAGTATATGCCTCCTGACTCAGTAAACTCTCAATCTAGTCCTCCACTGAAACAGTAACTCGGCAGTGATGGCTCTTCTATCTATGCAGATGACGGTTGTGAGCTAGACTCTAATGGAGGCCGTTATAATATATAAACTCCCCTCGCCTATGCTGGCCAGCTGGCTGACGACTAAAAATGTCATAATCCTGGAGAATACACTCGTATGGAGTACTCAAAATAGGAAAATCAGAAATCAGCTGTAGATCCCAAAGCGTGATGGCCATCTCCTTTGGTCCAATCCGATAGATGTTGGTGACACTGTCCCAATGCTCAATTAATCCTTGAAGCCAAGAGTAGGAAAGTCGAATGTAGTCGAACAATGAAACATATATAGCCATGTAAATCCCTCTGTCTGAGGATCCTCTAATATGATCTGATAATAAACATAACCCCTCAACATTCGAAGAGGATTTCCAAACACAGAGTCATAGTGCTACTTGTCAACCTCGTGGCATGAAAGGTTATAGCTCAAAAGTCTTATGGTACATGTACGCTCTACAAGATCTTCAACCTGCTGCAGCACATCCTAAGCACTTGCAAATAAGCAGACAAGAGTCAGCACATCATAAGTAAAATTAATATTGAAAAGAGTAAAATTAACTACTGCAGGCAGAGCAAAGTGCGGGAAAATGGGTAAAGAACAAACAACATTGTTAAAGTAGAGTAACAAATTACTGAGAGAAAAAGTTACGAGTAAAAAACAACAAACACACTACTGAAAGCTAGGGTAGAAAACAACTGTTGGCAAATAAGTGTCAAAATAACAACTGCTAGCAAGTAAGTGTCAAAATTACAGCTGCTGGTTATTGAGTGTCAAATTAGTAAACAAATTACTAGTAAACAAGTAAAAATTATAGCCTAGTATCAAACTAGCAAACAACTACAAACCCATGGGCTACTTTTAAGTGAAGTAGTAAGACTCGCGTGTTAGGGAACTTCTAAATGAACGATCATATATCCAAAACTTAAACCCCTAAGGGCAGCCTTATTTATAAGAACTAAGTTGTAAGACCCACCCACCGACAACTTTCAATGAAAGCTGTAAGTTCGACTTTAGGGGAAATCTTTAGGCAGAAATGAACTAACCCCTAATCCATGATTAATACACCGACAACTTCTGATAGAAGCCGTAAGTCGGACCTATGAGAAAAATGTTTACGTAATAACATAATCTTATACCCCTCACATGGGCATCCTGGTCTATAGGGCTAGGTTGTATGACCCACCATATGGACCAATTAACTTACAGAGCTAGGTCGTACGACTCGTCATCAGGCAACTTCTAAGGAAACCATAAGACCTATCCAACCTAAACTCTCGGGCATCTTAGGTTGTAGGGCTAATAAGACCGACTATTTGGGCCACTTCTAGTAGAGGCCGTAAGACCCACTATTAGAGCTACTTTCAAGCCCCTACCTAAATCTAATCACATGAGCAACTCTTAAACAAAGCCAT